CCCCTCCTTAAACCCCAGGCACTAGTTATTTCCCAGAGTTCGCCCTTGGCCCCTGCGCTCAGCCCCTGTCCCTCCCACCTGTGCCTGGACATCTCTCCTCTCCTGCTGTTACCTCCTGCTGCCAGGGCCCCACACCCGACCTCCTGCAGGTTCCTGGGTGTGGCCCACCGGACTCCCCCCTGGCTCCTCAGACTGACTCTGTCCATTCTCTTCCCCCTCCCCACCCCTACCTGCCTGTCCTCATTCCTTCCCTGCCTCATTAATGCCACCACCACCTATCTGGTCTCTGCCGTGGGGTCCAGGGAAGGGCAAGATTCCAACCCCAGTAATTAGAATGGAGGAACCACTGACAAAGAGGAAAGTTAGGATCCTTGATTTCACAGAGGAAAGGGATTTCTAAATTTGATTTTCAATAGGTTATGTTTATTTCAAAATCAAGAGAAGGCCAAGATGGATGAGAATGGGAGTTGAGATAACCACAGTCTCTGTTATGTGTCAGGCAGACACATTTCCTTACATCTCCAGTAAAAGTACGGGAGTCAGGGATTGTTCCTATTTGATAGAGAAGGAAATGGAGACTTAGAGGATATAGGATTTATAGCTAATAAGAGCTGTGCAGACTGGCAAGGAATCTAAGCCTTCATGCTCCAGGCCGGGATCCTACATCCAAGTCACAGCTTAAAAGGCACTGTAATCTTGGCATCCTGAAATCTTATCCCCAACATTTCAACCTTCGCTCCCTTCATCTGCCCCAGCTCTAAAGGAGTGACCTCTGTTCTTGTAGTCCTGATCATGATTTGGACCACACATCTTTTTTTTCTTTTGTAGCAAGTAGAATTGAAATAGAGCCCACTCACTTTGCCCAGAAAAGTAAAAATGTCAACGACAATGACAAAAAGATTTCTGCCTCAATTCTAAGAGGACAGGCACGGGCTGGCCCCGTGGCTGAGCCGTTAAGTGCGTGCACTCCGCTACTGGTGGCCTGCGTTCGGATCCCGGGCGCCCACCGACGCACTGCATCTCCGGCCATGCTGAGGCCGTGTCCCACATACAGCAACTAGAAGGATGTGCAGCTATGACATACAACTATGTACTGGGGCTTTGGGGGGGGGGGGAATTAAGAGGACAAGCACACCAGAATCTAAATGCATTTCAATTCTACCTTCCTGTTACTTAGCTGAGACCTTGAACAAAGTCTTTTTTAGTTTTCTAATCAGGTTGATCTAATCCCTGTAGAACTTTCTAGTCCCTCCAAATTTGCAGGCTTCTGGGTCAAATATAGAAATAGAGAATAAAATGTGTTATTTGTTTCTTGCAAAATGCCCGTAGCATCTGAGATGGGAATGCACAGCCCTTCTTGATCCTGGGTTTCAAGCCCAGAGTGGCAGCTGGATCTCCCGTGCATACCACAGAGCTCAGCCCAGATCCAGCGATAGGACAGGGGAACAATGACAAATTGGGGTTTCTGCTCTTAGGTTCCAGAACCCACACAGGTAAGCGCTTAGGATAGAGTGCAGTGAATCAAATGAAGAATAGAGCAGACTGGGCAGGGCTCCCCAGGGCCAGGGAGTCTTGTTCCTGGGAAACAAAAAATTAGGAGGGGAGCTGACTGGTCAGAGGAAGCAAATTCGGCACCAAGGAGAGAGCACAGGCATTTGCCCATCAGCAGTGCAGCAATCGCCGTCTCTCCTGGTGCCCCAGGACACTTCTGACACACACGGAAGCCAAGACCTCAGTGGCTACACCCGCACCTACGGCTCCAGCTTCCTCTGCACGGGCGCCCCGTCCCAGGCGCAGCTGCACTTCTGCACCCTCACATTGGGCAGGCTGACCACCTGGGGCCTGGGCCTGCCTCCCTCCTGGAGGATGACAATCATGGGCAGCGAGGTCGTCTCCGAGGCGATGCACTGCCGCGGCCCCAGAAGCAGCCACTTGGAGGTTAGGGGCTCCAGGGGCTGCTGGCAGGTGCCCACACACTCATAGGCCAGAAGCCCCGGGGCTCCAGGACCCAGTTCTCAGCCCACTTCATCCCCTGCAGGTCCAGGTACATCTCCTGGC